CCCCAAAACCCCAAAACCCCTAGATTGTACTTTTAGCAATAAATAGATAATTAAGAAATTAATTAGAATTTCCATTTTATTTTTAATCTTCACTTATGATTCTAGGTATTGTAACTATATGAACTATGCATCATAGCACTCCTCTGCTATTGAAGTAAATTATTTGCTGAACTGTGAGGTAAATTTGGACTTAAGCCAATCGGCGGGGGTCTAATCATCGGCATCATCTATTGCTAATTCATCATGAACTGCTAATTCTAGAATTATTGCATGCTTTATTATTGTAGTTGAATTTGTTATTGAACTGCTAATTATTGATTTTAATAACCCTGAATATTGTACTACTGTGGATTCATTATTTAGTAACTTTGATTCTAATTTAGTAAAATAGACTGACCTAATGCTGCTGGAGGAGGTCTTAAAGCTGGTACTGCATTATAATATGCTTAAACTCTATTATACTAGGGTAGCTAGATCTGCTATTGATAGGATACAGATTATTGCAACTGCATTTACTGACCATTTTAGTTTGAATACATCATTTAAGCTTTTTAACTTTCAGAAATATTGTTCTGACTTTGAGCTGATGACCCTTAAATTGGTAACTATTAAGGCTTAGGTTATGTGTAGTTGATAAGCTTTTATAAGATATCTTACAATGTCTGCTTCTTAACTTCATCATACGTATTTACTCTCTCAATCATATTAGTTTACTTGAGTTTATCCTAAATTACCTTTAATAATTGCTCTGGTGAATAATGCCCTTAATCAGCTATCTGCAGAAGATCTCTCATCTCTTTAACATCAGGGTCATTATCGATTGTATTAATTTGTGATTTTTCCTCTATCGTACTGTTATCTTGTTTTTTAATACTGCTAGTTTTTGTTTCCTGTACTTCATTATCTGATTAATCCGTTGAAATAGGGGAAAAATTATTCATATCAAGAGGATTATTACTATCTTTATTTGACTTCTAATGTTTTTTCTACTATTGCTTCTTCTTAATCTGCTCAATAGAGTCTGCTGTTTATATATAATTTTTTACTTTTATTACTATCGGGTTGATAAAATTTCTGCTTAAACTCATCTTTTACTTAATAAATCCAGCGAACATAATCTAAAGCTTAGAATCATCAAATAATTCTTCACTTATGCCCAAATGCCTAACAACCTAAAAATGCTTCTCATTTTCAGGTAGATAAGGAAATAAATAGAGAGTAAGTGAGTTATCTTAATAGGGCTTAATCACACTAAATTTATCATCTTATTTCATTGAATTATATAACTCATTATAGAGAGTGACCTATTCCAAGTCCTCTTCATCATACTTTATAACTCCACTTATAAAATACTGTGGCTTAGAATTGCTCAGAAAGTATTTCATTACTTCAATTGAAGAAGCTTTGCCGCTGATATTGAAAGTTTACTGCCATTTCTAGAGGCATTGAAACATTTTAATATCCTTTGAAGATTGTAATTGGCCTTTGATTGGATCTAATATCCTTGAGAACTTAATTTTTCCCTCCCATACCTATAAGATTGACCCTCTCGGAGCTGTATTTTTCTCAGGAGGAGTCTCTCCTTCTGCAGGATCGTAAAATATTGGTTTTGGCTTGACTTAATACCTTTTCCACAATTTGTATTCCTCTGTTGGGTTATATGGGCAGAGGAATTAATGTCCAGATTTATTTTAGTAGCTCATAACTAAATCAGTCATATCCTCAGCATTCTCTTCTATATCCGAAAAATTAGCAGACCCGTTGAGGCTTTCATATGTTTGGTCTGAATCCTAAGTACCAAGTTCTGCCTTTTTCATGCTATATTATGAAGAGTTATTGATTCACTATTTATTGCCTTCTTTTGTATCTACTTGCTAACTCTTTGTCTCAACAAATAACAAGCCAAATTTATCTTCCTACTTATTAAGAGACTAACTAATCTGATTATCCTCTTAAATATTATCCTGTTTTGCTTCTTATTATTGCAATTCCTGTTATCATTCTAATTGTTTTTACTTTTCCCTTTTCTTTCTCTCTAGTGTTATACAAGTTTTCCTGAATTTTTCAGTTTTTACTCTGAGCTTGGAAATACTCACCTTTTCTAGTAAAAATAAACTCGAAACTTCAGGAAATTTTAATAATAGATTCAAGTTTTTCTTGACTTTATCTACATTGTCTCTGTACTTTTAATTTATTTTTTCTCCTGCTTTCATATATATTTCTAGTTCGAGCTAATCAAGTAACTTCTAAAGAACGTACTCAAATTTATATTGCTCCTTTGTATATTTCTCATTCTTTTTCCAGATTTAGTCAAAAGAGCGTTTGGCGAGTTTACGCTCTGCATTGTTAAGTTCATTTTTTGTTTACTAATCAAGTGAAAAGTAGTTATTATTGTATTGATTATATGAAGGTTTTTATCCATTGAAGTAAAACTATGAGCTGCTATTGCTATTATTTCTACCTTAAATATTATTATCAAAATCCCCTTCATTTTAGCTATTAATTTCATTCAGACTAGATAGATTTAGATATAGTTTTTTGTCATTTTTATCAGGCGAATCTTTTGAATCCTCCTATTTCAATGGTTCTAACAAATTGCCTTCTTCTTTCTAGTGATTTCCTTAGTCAATTAAAATCTGTTTTTCTTATTCATGCTTTTATGGGCTCTGCTTTTTATTAGGGCTATTAACTTTAACCATAATTTTTTGACTAATAAAAATTATAATATATTAAGATTGGTAAAAGTGGTTGGGGTAGATTATAAAATTATAAATTAAATTTTTATTTTAAGATCTATTTTTTTGTTGCAATAAATCTTTACGGGGTTTTGGGGTTTTGGGGTTTTGGGG